TATTCTGTTTAAAAAATGAGTTCACTGATGTGATTAGTTATATAAGTTCTAATAAGAAAGATCACACACACAGTTTATAGTCATAAGCAAACTAATATAAAGTACATATAATACGCATAACATTTTATTGTGTCCTCATTGTTCTAAATGTTTTATATGTAATCATCGTTCTAAGTGCATCTACCTAACTTAATTAAAATAATTCAAAGTTATAACAAGAGAAGTGAAAATTAAATCAGCAATGCAATTCCTTTATTCACAAACAGGGGGAGATAGAAAGCAAGGAACTAAAGGACAGTTAGCTTAACATGTCATCAGGAAAATGTTGGAAGCTATCATTAAAGCAGGATAATCAAGGTAATCAGCAGAGTCAACATGATTTTGTGAAAGGAAAATCATGTTTAACCAATTTAGTAGAGTTATTTGAGGAGGTAATGTGCTGCAGATGAAGGTGAACAGGTGAATAATTGTCCTTAAATTTCCAAAAGGCATTTGACAAGGTGGCACATCAGAACTTATTGTGTAAAATAAAAGCTCAAGGTGCAGGGGTAAAATGTCGTTATGTTTAGAGGACTGGCTAGCTAATAGGAAACAGGAGTAGGCAATAATGGGTCATTTTGTGGTTAGAAGGATGTAAATGTATGGTGTGCCACAGGGATCAGTGCTTGGGGTTCAACCTCTGGCAATTTATATGAATTACTTGGATGAAGAGACCAAAGGTAATGTTGCTAAATTTGCTGGTGATACAGAGATAGGTAGGAAAGTAAGTTATGAGGAGGACATAGCAGACCCCAAAGGAATATAGAGAGGTTTAATGAGTGGTATATATCTTGAGAAATGGAGCGACCCAATCCTGGACTAGGTTTCCCAAGTTGCTATAGTTTCAGATGGAATACACCAAATTGTCAAGCTCCAGGATCAGGAGGGATGAGCTGAATCACATTCTTTATTCACCCACCTTCTCAGTTAGTCGCAATAAGTCAATTTATAGAGTCTCTCCCTTGTGGATGGATACTTTTACACCAGAGTAAGAGAATTTGTGTTTTAACAGAAGCCAATTTAACTACCCTTTCTGATGTTAATAAAAGAGTCAGTTTATTACTTACTAAACACAAGAAGAAATATTGCAATGCACACCTTCCTGAGACAGCACCTTCCAAATCCACAACGACTACCATCTGGAAAGACAAGGGCAGCAGGTATATTGGAACACCACCTCCTGCAAATTCCTGTCCAAGCCACTCATCATCCACACTTAGAAAAATATCACCATCCCTTCAATGTCATTGGGTTAAAATCCTGGAACTCCCTCCATAATGGTATTAAAGGTGCTCTTACACCAAATACACTGCAGCAGTTCAAGGAGGCAGCTCACCGCCACCTTCTCAAGGACAACTAGGGAAGGGCTGGTCCAGCTAGAGAAACCCACATTCCATGAGTGAATAAAAAATACATACACACAGATTAGAAATGAGAAAATTGTCTGAAAAAAGATGAGCTAAAAGGTGTATTGATCAGTCCCTATTATACATTCGTGAAGAGTAGAGAGCATATGCTATGGACGTTGCAGTAGATTTTATCAGTAGTGTTGACATTAGTGCAGTGAACAGTTGATTTCAAGAATCTTGACTTTGCAGGTTGATTGAAATTCTTTTGTCCTGGTTCCTTTCAATAATGGTTGGCTGTCAGCATTCAGAGTAAAGGAAACTTTTCCTTTCCTTTATATACAGTACAGAAGTTTTTAATGGCTGTTCTCAATGCTATAACCTTCATGATGCATTTGTCCATAGAAACAGACACAAATCAAGTTCGCTTTTAACCCTTATCCTTATGCATTTTCACAGGGGGGAATACAAATATATCTCTCACCCCGACTCCTGTCTTTCATACCAGCATTTTCATAGTTTGAAATTCTACCAGGGGATTACAATTCTGTTTATAGTCCATTTCGCCATTTCAAAGTCCACTTTTGTGACACATCATCAGGTGTGACATTTTCTGTCTGTCTCTCTCTCTCTCTCCAGACAACCAATGAATTTTCATCAGTGTTTGTTTGGTTGTCTTCCAACAAATGCTTTAATTAAATATCCATAAGTGAGCCAGGGTTACAATCTGTATAACAAGCAAATTGTGGGAAAGTGCCCATTTTTGCAGGAAGAATAAAGATGAAACATGTTACCTGAATGGATTGCTCATACAATTGAGGAAAGGAGTTAAGATGCCATGTTGCGTTGTACAGGATGTTGGTGAGGCCACTTTTGGAGTACTGTGTACAGTTCTGGTTACCTCACTATAGGAACTATAGTATTAAACTGGAGACGGTGTGGAAAAGATATACAAGTATGTTACGGGTACTGGAGGGTTTGAGGTATAAGGAAAGGCTGGATAGGCTGTGCACTTCTTTCACTGGAGCATAGGAGGTTGAGGGATGACCTTATAGAGGTTTATAAATTTGTGAAGGGCATACATAAGGTGAATAGCAGAGGTCTTTTCCCTAGGGTAGGGGAGTTCAAAACTAAAGGGCATAATTTTAAGGAAGAAAGATTTAAAAGGAACCAGAGGGTCAACATTTTCGAATGGTGGTTCAAATTTGGAATGAACCGCCAAAAGTGGTAGATGCAGGTACAGTTACAACATTTAAAAGATATTTTGACATGTATATGAATAGGAAAGGTTTAGAGGGACATGGGCCAAATGCAGGCAAATGGGACTAGTTTAGTTTGGGAAACCTAGTCAGTATGGATGAGTTGGACTGAAGGGTTTGTTTCCGTGCTGTATGACTCTAATCTTTATATCATAGCTCCCCCTTCTGTCTAAGCTTTGCTAAACTCTTGAGGATGGCCCATGACACAAGCTTCATTTTACAACAACAGTTCAGTATTGCAAAATCAAAGTATAAGTCCCTTGACTTTACAATGGCAAAGGAACAGCATCCACCACTCACTGCACTAATATCTATCACAATGCTTTTGTAGTATTGCAAGCCCAAACATGGTCATCAGACATTAGATCTGGGGTACTACCACTATAGGAATCTGCGGTGTGTATAAGCAGGGCAAAGAAGTACAGCTCTTCAAAAATATTTAAGAACCTT